AATCGATGGGCTACCCGCAGGAGCTGTTGGCTGTGGCAGCAAAAGCCAGAGAGAATAAGACAAAACTGACACTTCAGAATTCGGCATGTCCGGGCAAAGGCGACAAGGAAACGCATGGATGGGATGCCGTAGGATGCGCTATGGGCAAGTCCAACTCCAAGCCCAATTCGATGGATGAACGTGAAAAGTGCCACAAAAAGACAAAAACTTCTAAGAAACACAAAAATCCGGCATCAGGCGAAACGGGGCAGAAGTCTTTGCCTCAGACGAAGACCTCGGCTGCTGCTCAGCAGGGAGACAGCTGCAGCAAGAATGCTGCACATAAATACGAATGTCCGGGAGCAAGCGATACCGGACACTATCTGTTCGATGGCATGGGACGCGCCATTGGCAAGTGCCAGTGCCAGTGTCAGAGTGGCTCTCAGAAAAAGAGTGCCGGCAAAAAGGAGGACTCTGTGGCGAAGGACATTGGTGAAAGTCAATCCACATGTAGTGAAGAATCCAGCTATTACACTCCACGTTCCAGCGTTGGGGAAACCGCTGAGGTCCCACCACCACGACTGCGAGCGAAAAGCCAAAAGAGGCACCCAAATTGATTGATTGGGGACCAGATGCACACTTTGACGATCGTCCAATGCGGGTTGTGGGGGAGAGAGAGAGAGTTGTTGGAGAGCTGCTCTCTCTCTTTTTTGTGCAGTGCAGAATGCATTAGTTTTCGTTGTTAAAATTGTTGATTGTACATTACAGATGTAATAAAAACAGTTCTATGTGATATTCTGTGGAGGGAACTCTTGGGGGGGAGATACAGAAAAGACATCCAAAGAAGTATTACTTTTACGCTTACTGTACAATTTATTGTTGGACGAAGACGTAAGCAGGTAGCTGCAAAAGCAATGTAAAGCCCGAAAGCTCTCGGCCCTAATGCAAGCGAGAGAGAGAGAGCGCGCGACAGATCGAGGGAGCGAAAGAAGAATGAAAGCAACAATCGTGATAAGTATGTGAACAGAGCATGCGTATGTACAGTACGAGTGACTGCAGAGGTGCAGACCAGAACAGGCAGACAGGCGAGAGAGCGAGGCTGCGAGTATAGCGTGAGAGAGCGATTGAGAGAGAAATTAACCGTTGCATTGGTTGCTGCCGTGCGGGTGCTTATGCAAGCATAAATGCATTTGTTTGCAGGTAGCTGACAATTAGGTACAGTGGGCAGTGCAACTCAAAGTCAAGTCAAATATTTGGCAGCGTAACAAAATAAATATATATTATCAAATCTCGTCTATGATATACTCCAACTCTAACGCTCATTTAATTTTCACTGCTTTTTGCATCATTTCATCCACTGTGAAACGTAAACTTGCAGTTGATTGAAAGATAAATCCTGAAAAGAAAATTCATTCAAGTAAATACGAGTATTGCCTGCAAATTCGTGATTTCGCAAGCGACAAAAACTGTGACAGGCTCTTTCTTCTCTTTTTGGTTTTACTTTTTGTTGTTGTGGGAACTTGGCAAAGAGCTGACATACTTCTAAATATATGTACATACACATTAATATATGTATTGTAGTTGTAGTAGAGGTAACCAAGCGGACGACTGCGTGCTGTGTGTACTTTTGATGTTGAGATTCATGTCATCGCAGGTGGAATTCGGAATTGTTGTCTCTGACAATCGGGCGTGGGATCTGCTTCCACCATTCCCTTACCACTCTACGAGGATGTGCGAGACGGGATAATGTCTGTGAGTTGTCATGGTTGTCGTCTGGCATGTCTTCGGCCTTTCCACCTTCTGCCCTTGGGCGTCATAATCACTTTGCAACCTAATGCCAACACACAATGTATGGAATACATTCTGGTTTTGGTGTGTCAATTTGCGTGGCGTGGCTGGGAGCTTGTGCGTGTTGAAAACTTTTGCAAGGCAGCTGTGGCGGTTTTCGCTCTCCCTGTCCTGGCCTGGCCAGGCAAAATGAAGTGCTAAATAATGCTAAATGTGCGACAAAATGTGATTTGAGAGCAGATCAGGTGGCCCTTGGCGCCTGTACTCAGATCTCCCCACACCTCACCCTCACCATCATCCTCTCTCTGTATCTCTGTATCTCTGTATCTCTGTCCCTGTGAAAGCTCGTCAAAAAGGGTTCTTCTTGAAAAGCTGGGACTGCAATCGCGTCATCATTGAAAGGATACGTCACCCCTCGTCTTAGATTATTCTTTATATATCCATGTCCAGAACAGACCATCAGCCATCGTATGAAAACAAATTACTTTCGAGCGAGTAAGCTCACAGATGGGCTGTATGGGCAGGACTCTGGGTGAGGACTCTCTTTCTGAATGAATTTTGCGTGCGTCATTGCTTCAATTACAGCAACAGCAACAGCAACCAGGGAACAGGGAACAGGGCACAGGGAACAACTCTCGTATCAACAGCAATGAGCAACAGATTTTTGTGATTTCTTTAAGAGCAATTCGAAACCCATGCCCATGCTCCCACGATGATATGCGAGTTATGAATGGTATGGACTAGAACTAGACCCGGGACCACCCATTCCCAGTGAGGCGCTGCAATCGGAAATTGAAAGCTTCCGTCTCGAATGAGCAGCGATGGAGGCAACCACCAAGCTCTACACAATGTAAACATATGTACATACATAAATATGTAAACAGTGAGAGCGAAATCAAAGATATTCCATTCTGCTTCCTTTTTTTAGCGTACACCTAAAGAATAAATCTTACAAATAACAAAAATTTCCAATGAAAAATGTAAGAAATTTAAAACGAACGTTGTGGCACCATTCACCACGTAATTGTGAATGTGAATATGAATGTGAGTATGAATGTGAATAGGAATGTGAATATGAATGTTAATGAAGTTCGCTCTCTTTCGGAATGAGCAATTACATACACACATACATACATTTATGTACATGTGTACATTTTTATGTACAATTAATGTATTTCGCAGACCCAGGAGTCGAATGCCGAATGCCAATGGAATTGTAATTGGAATTGCAAATGGTGAAAAATATCTGCATACTCGTCCAATATGCATTGAGTTTCAGTCATCGAATGCAATTCGGACACTCAGAAATGGACTCCAACAACACAATTATTGCACATTCATTTACAGCGACGAAATGAATCACTTTCTTGTCCAAGGATTGGATGAATTTGAGGGAATAATTTGGTGTCAAGGGGAAAACACATGCACCCATTTGCAATGACTATGCCATCTTATGGGTGCTATTTCGCTCAGTGTATTTATATACATGTAGGTATGCGCCTGTGTGCGCCTACTCCACCCTAATCCGGCTTGTCGTGCAACCCCACAGCTCAGGGACTAAGTGAATGGAAGCGAAACTTTAATTGAAACGAACGTTTGGTGTGCGTTTTCGGGCTAAGTGATTGATTATGTCTTGTTTGCCAGACACGGACTATGCGAGTGCGAGTAGTAGTGCTGCATATACATAAACTATACATAAACTATACATAAATACATACATATGTACATAGCTAGTGCTCTGCCTGTTGGCATTTCCTGGCTGCTTGCAGACACAGAAGAAAGCCTGAAGTTCAAGTAGTTCTCTTGGAGAATCGCAAAATGCATCGAACTATTGCCGAACCGATTGCCTTGAAGATCGATTCCACGCACATTTTTCCACAACTGTTTGTTGTGTGGTGTAGCGGGTATCCTCTGGTCGTTATGTCCTTTATGGCGCACCTCCCTGTTATTGTTAGGTTGTAAGGTTGTTTCTGGGGCGTGGCAGCGCACACAAACGTGAGAAATTGGAAGGGCAACGCGACAGACACGTACATAAATATGTACATAGCTGGGACAGTGGGGTTGTGCGTAGTGGGGAGCAAGGGCTGGCCAGCGGCGCGCTACAACTCATTCAGAAAAAGGAAGCGAACAATAAAAGCGAACCGCGCGCGAAATCGAATCAATAATTTAATGCAGGTGCTGCTGCTGCTGCTGCTGCTGCCTCCGGATCTGGCAGCTCCTTATTCCCTTTCCAAACATTAGACCGCAGGCACTGAGGCACAACCCCCGGTCGGGTTGGGTTGGGTTGGGTCTGTCGGCAACTGCTTTTGTCATTTTGTCATTCGGTCGGCTTTGGACATTGCCAAGTTAACGCCACGTCGACACACGGACTCTGACTCTCACTCTGTCGTATATAATAATGTCTCAGCCATGGACTTGGCTTGCTTGCCGCTTGTTAGGAGCAGCAAAAGTGGCAGAAGGAGCAGCATGAGCCACTTTTCTCGATATCTGTTGCCAATAGCTTGGCAAAGACTAGCCCATGAAATATAATACAAACGATATTCTCGAGCACGTTATGTGCAGCCGAGTATTTTGGTTGCTTTTGCTGCTGGAACGGTAGCCAGAGCCATAAAGAATAAGAATAACACATTAAGAGTACAAATTGAATGGACAAAATGCAATTAAATGTTCGGTTTCTAAGCACAAAACAGGCTACAAAAAAACAGTTTAATTCGATTGAGGTATAACAAGCAATTAATAATTATTAAACGCATTATTTGTTCAGGATATTCACGCTGCCAGCAACCTAATTGTTGTCTTGGGAAAAGTGCATTGGAAAAGTAAATAAATTATGCTCAAATGCTGAAATGTTTCCAAGCTTCAGTGTTAATATTTCCACACTTGAAGACACTTCGATTACCTCTCTCTTGGGGCAAAACAAATGCCTGAAGAATGTTTTAATCTCAATAAAAATATAACAAACAGAAGCAGGCACTCTTTTCTGTGCTTTGTGTTTGAAACATTTCAATTGTGTAATGTCCCAAAAGTGTACCGATATGCATGGCCCATTGGTTGTCTGACAACCAGACAAGTCGGGCTCGTATCTCTGCTCTCTTCTACAAGTTGTCGAAACTTCGCCTCCAAAATGTCTAATTTTCCAAAGTGTGTTGTCGGTTCCTCGCTATCTTATCTTATGTGAGAATGCTCGAATGCTATTCGTTTGTTATCTGTCAGCAGGGGAGAGCCGGCAACGCTTAAGTTCTATGCCGAGTGGAGCATCGCTCCAGATGCCTATTGGATGGGCTCCAGAATGGTGTACAAGCTGCTGCGCGCCTGGCGTACGCCGCTGATCTGTGTGGCTGGGACGCTGGCCCTGCTCCTGGTCATTCAGCAGGTCAGCCGCAAGTCCCTGGCGGGCATAACCTCACAGGAGAAGCAGTGGAAGGGAGAGACTGCTGTACCCAAAGTGCATGTCGCTGTGGACTCCCCTGTGGACTACCCTGTGGACTACCCTGTGGACGCCCCAACGGATCTGGAGGCTATCCTTCGCGAGAACGGGAAGCATCACTGGGCACAAGGGTCACGACGCGGCCATCAGTGTGCGCCGTTTCCGCGCTACGAGGACTTTGTGTTCAAGAACCCGGACTTCCAGTGGGTGGTGGAGGGCAACCTGAGCTACTTCCTCTTTGGCGCCTACTACGACTGCAGGCCGGCGGCGCCCGAGGTGATGGTGCTGGCGATGGTGACCACCGTCAAGGGGCCACATCCGGAGGCCTACTGCCAGCTGTGGTACGCGGACGGTGGCCAGCCGGATCTGGTGCCCGTCAGCGACACCAAGGTGGGCTGGTACGATGCCTGGGGCAATGTGGCCGGCGTTGCCTATCCCACCATGCTCAGCTGCGTGGTGCCAGAGCCCGACATTCGTGTGCCGCAGCTGGTGTCGCTGGTCTTTGGCAGCCCCTGCGCCCCAGCTCGCAACGCGCTCGTCGTGGTCAATGCCGAAGTGTCGCAGCGACCCCGGCCACCGCCCAACACCCAGCAGCGACTGCGCACCGGCGTCTGTGTCAAATTTCTCGACTTCCCGGATCGCGACATGTCCGCCCGGATGGTGGAGTGGCTGGAGCTGCTGCGACTGCTGGGCGTCGAGCGGGTGGTGGCCTACGACATCGGGCAGCTCACCGCCAACACATCGCACACCCTGGCCCACTACTCGCAGGTGGACGGGCTGCTGCAGCTGCGGCAGCATCGCCTGCTGGCCGAGCTGCCGGACCACAGGGCTCTGCGCGCGTGCCTCACCGAGGTGCTCATGTACAACGACTGCCTGTACCGGAACATGTACGAGTTCGACTACTTGGGTGTGTTCGATGTGGACGAGGTCATCATGCCGCTGGGCGAGCTGCAGAGCTACCAGCAGCTGCTGCAGGAGCTGCAGCGATTCGACGTGAACTGCACTGCGCGCACGAGCTTCTGCTTCCGGAATGTGTACTTCCCCGAGGAGCTGGCGGCGGATCCTGCGCTGCCGCAGCACTTCTACATGCTGTCGCACGTGACACGTGTGGCCGAGCACTTGGATGCCAGATCGGCCATCAAGTGCCTGCACAGTCCGCTGTATGTGACCCTCACACACAATCACTTTCCCCTGCACTGGCGAGAGTCGTGCGGCCCCATGGATGTGCCCTTGCACTTCGGCCAGATGCAGCACTACCGTCACGTGGACGATCTGACAACGCTCACGCGTCCCACTCCGGTGCGGGATGATAATATCCTGCGCTTCCGGGAAAAGCTGCTGCGTAACTCCCTCGACATTCATCGCCGACTGGGCTGGACATAGGAGCCGGTGGCAGGGCACTCGCATATTGATTATATTTTAATTGCTTTTCGTATATTTAAGAGGCTTACATTTGTGTGTCGAGCTGCGTGCTACGCCCTGACCTGACCCGACCAGTCCGTGTGCCGTGTGCCGTGTAACCACGTGCCACGTGCCACCAGAGTGGGTGGTGTGGAGGTGTGGAGGTGTGGAGGTGCTGCCACGTCAGCAGTCCAATAATTGCTTATTGGCATTGTGTGACAAAAGTTCTGGTGAAAAGGCTGGCCCTTGTTCCGAAGGGGAACCGAAGAAGCCGCACAAAATGCATCCAAGGAGCAACCCAAACAAAAATCAAACTCAAATTCAAATTCATTTTTGAGGCCCAGAGAGGCCCGACAATTGATGCCAAATTACCTTCCCACATTCCGAGCTGCGAAAACTTTTCATTTTGTGCGAGCAAAGAAATTGAATTTCCCAGTCCTGCCCAGCCGCCCCCAGTGGTGCCTCCGCAGTGGTGCACCTTTGACAAATGCGAACAAACAAAATCAGGAATTTATGAAAGCTTGCTGCTGAGAGCTCGGTTTCTGGTCCTGCTGTTGCTTCTGGCTCGCACGAATGGAAATCTAGCTGCTGGCCCGGGCAGTGGCTGTGGCTGCAGTCGCCCTGCCCTCACTTTTTCATTAGAGTTGAGTGAAGCTCATAAAGATTAAAGTGCGAGCTGTGATGCAATTTTCATTGTTTAACCCCCCCCCATTGAAAATGTACGTGGAGCGTCCATGCGTGGCAATGGCAATGGCAATGGCAAACGGAATCGTGATTATGGCTGGGATTATTCACTTGGGCATTACGAGTACTCGTAAATGAATGCAAGCAAGCATCTCTGGCAGTTTCCCGCACAGCTTTAAAGGACTCTTTCTCCGTCTCACAGCGAGTGGCATCCTTTGGGTCACTCCCTGCCTTTTGCTTAGCTTTTAAAGTTTTTTGGTGTTGCAATTCGAGTGGCAGTTTGTGGGATAACTTTTAGCAAGCGTTGCAGGGGGCCAGAGCCCTCGGCTGGCCCTCAGGTAACTCTTCCGCAGGAACTCTTTGTGGTCTCTCCCATTCTTAATTAAAGGTATTGGAGCCAGAGCAGCCCAGAAGAAAACTTTAGCCAAAAGTGAAGGCAACAAATTGTACAACTCATATGAGGAATCCCTGAGAAGTCTGCACAACATTCCAATCCCAGTGAGTGTATGGGGAAATTTAATTTTCCAACTGCAACGAGCGGAGATATTTTGGACTTATTTTCTGCTCAAGCTCCTGGGTACTGGTAGCTGCTCCTTTGCCTTTTGTTTAATTAATTGTCTCTGGGCAAACAAAGTAAGGCCAAGGTGGGGCTGGCTGGTTGGCTGTTGGCCTTAATGGATAGCTCTATGCATTCACGAAATCCACGCAACACTAACCAGAAATTGAAATCATTTTTCACCAAACAAAATGAGAGACAAAATGCGTGCCAGGACATATTAAAATATTAAAATTGGCAGACAAAGAGATGGCCTAGCCCCGCGACACGAATACAATGGAGAGTGGAGTGGAGACGTGGCTCGGGGCACGGGGCACGGGGGACCAAAAACCGAGCTGACAAATGAACGTTAAAAGTGCGCGACAATTTTTGTCTGCCTTGCTGCCTCTCTGCCTCTTTTGCTCCTTTTCATGGAGGGGCTTTTGAATTTATTATGGCACGAATGACAATCGGGGCTGGGGTTTACAGTACAAAATGCCAAAGTGACAAATTGATGGCTGCCTTGGACGGGGGCCACCACAGGCCCCCTGCCAGACGTTGCCGCATGACTGTCTATTCTTGGGCAATATTCTCAAACAATTATCCCGCTAATAATGCATATTAAAATGTAAATGTCCGGCCAGGTACCACGGTATGCCAAATTTATGACCAGCCGAGATGACAGAGTCCTGAATAAGGCCACAGGCGCTGGTGGGAAATGAAGCCCTCAGATTATTGGCAGCCAGAGCCGTGCCCAAATTAATGTTTCTGCATTTCAACAGAGCTGTTAAAACCATGATAGGAAATAGGAGAACAAGTTATTGCTGATGAATGCTGTCATAATGCTTGTAGATATTGGGGGGACCAATCGGACTTACTTAAGAGCAGCTGCAGAAGTCGAGCGTGATAAGTTCTCAAAGAGAATAGATTAAAGCAGAGCGCAAAGAAAGAACGGCAAAGAGACAAGAGAGAGATGCAGAGAGAGAGAGAGAGATAGAGAGAAGCCCCGCCGCGAGAGTTGAAATCCGCTACCTGTCAGCATGCTGCTACAAAAACAAACATGCTTGATCGATGGCAGAGCTTTAAGCTCCGCTAGGCAGCAATGCGGGTGCAGTGTGTTTGTTTTTGTTTCGGCTGCGCGAGCACCAAAGCTTCTCATGCAAAACTGTATATCCGAGTTGTTGCAGAATTTGTGTTTGCATTTCAGCAACATTCAAACATAGCTTGTCGCAAATAAACAACAAAAACGCCATATACTTGTTGGGCTTAATTGCACTTAAGTCGCTGCCATTGCCACAGCATAAGCTCTGCCCATTAAATGCATCATTATTATTATCGTGTGTAACAAATAATGTAAATAAATTGCGTATTGATTTTGAATTGGTTTTGTTTTTTTTTTCATGTAGCAAAATAACAAATGTGCGGATAATTCTCGCTTTTAATTTGAAATCAGAGTTCATTAAATGTGCAATTTTTGCAGCGCAGTTTTTGTGCCTCATTCGGATGTCATTATCTACGCATTATCTACGCATCCTTTGGCAGGAATATCCTGGCATCCGCTAATGGCCCAACTTGGCAGCATCTTCGTGGCAGTCACGTGCCCATTTCTGGGGCAATAATTCGTGAGGAGCGGCGGAGAGCAGCGATCCCGTGAACCCCGTGACTTTTCAACTTGGACATGGACTTTGTCTCGGTCTTGGGCAGCGACATTTTGGTCCTTTTATGGCCTCTGTATATATTATTTCATAAATTTAATTGTCACGTACACACACACGCACACGGGGGGAGCATCTTTGGGCTTCGCATTTATTTGGGAATGGCGCCATAATACGTGTTTATAACTCGACTGCGCGATTCCGGCCATAAACGTGTTCAATGCACGCCTACGTGGGCAACGCACATAGAAATGTACATATGTACATACAAATGCCGCTATACTTCTGAGACGCTAAATGATTTATTTACTGTATTTATTTAATCTATTTTATGGCCGCCGAGAGCCCCTTTTCGGGCTTCAGGCAGCAGCTTTAAGGGAACTTTCTATTTGTACGAGTCGGTGGATATGCATCTGTGCATCAGCTGGAGTTATGGCTGGAGTTTTGTGTGTTCGCTTCAGTCAAGTCTTGAGGCCGTCTTGAGGGGGAGGCAGAAGTTTGCACAATGTTCACGTTCAGCGCATCGCTCTCGTGTACAGAACAACTGTGCGCCTGTCGTTGCTGAGCAGCACTTGCACTTGAATGTGACACGCATCAAATCACTTTTACCCGAGTGCACTTAATGTCGCTTCGAATGCTGCTCCCATTAATACGGCATGAGACGTGTGAGTGTGTCTGTGCCAGGCTTTGCAGCAGTCAGTCTTTGACAGTCGCTCAACTGAGCTGAGCTGCGTTCAGCTGCAAGTAAGGTCAAATAGTTGTATGGAAATCAGAGCTTGTCAGCTGCAAGTCACATAGCAATAAGCCCGTAAAAGTCAGTCAGCTGCAATGCCAGTGCAGTAGAGTTGCCATGCAGATCTCTGGTAATACTGCCATTAAAGGGTTTGCAGTTATTCTGCTGCTGCTCTACAGTTTGCTTCCGAAATGCTTCATCTCCGGCACTTCCATCAATTATGGAAGAGTGCGCTTTTTGACCGAGTTAATTGCATTATTTTGGACTACCAGCAGCTTCACTTAGCGATAATCAATTTGGCCAATGGCCACAGCCCAGAGCCCAAACTATAGCCGAGTACAGCGCTGCCTCAGAGCCAGAGTCGAGGCCGCCTTCGTGTACATTTCGGCACATTGTAATTAAAACGGACGCCAAACGGAATTGAGCGTTAAGCGCACCCAACATGACGACGGCTCCGAGAATGTCTGCCACCCCCCCAAAAGTTTCGCAATAAAAATCCCGTTAATAAACTTTGCATTTCAACGCACAAGCACACACACATACATATGGGAATTTGGCACACTGACTGACTGATAAATAATGTTAAGAAATGTTCATGGCTCTCTCTGCGTTCAGCATTTCGATTTTTTTGTTCTTCTTTCTATCATTTTTGTGTTTGTTTTTGTTTTTGGTTCTTTTCTTCATGTTTTTTTGGTTGTTTTGTTGTTGTGATTTTAATTAAATCGTTTGGCGAATGCGAAAAATAAGTAGAAGAGGAAAAAGCGCCGAGAAAGTGAAATGAAAACCGAATTGAAAGTTTATGTCAGCGACAAATGGCGCTGCTATCTCTCTCACTCTCTCTCACTTAGCGTGTGCTTTTGTGTGTGTCTGCGTAACCCGAACATCAAATATGTTTGAAGAACTTTATTATGCAAAATGCCAAACATTCTCCAACTTGTAGACGTCCCACTGTCCTGCTCCGCATCTGTTCATCTCTGTTATGTTCCGTTACGTTCCTCCTCTGTCCTCTTTCTTATTCCTCATGTCTCACACACTCCAGTCTCTGCTCTCTTCCCTCTTCTCTTTGCTGCCCAACTCTTTATGTGCGTGTGTGTATATTTCTGTGCGCGCAAATCTCATTTGAATTATAATGATGACGCCGCCAGCTCGGATAGGCGCACATATGTATGCTCTCTCTCACTCGCACTCACCCACATGCACACTACGAAAAAAAAAAACAAAAAAGAAGACCGAAGCAAAGTTTAAAAAAGTTTCGCCCTGTGATCGAGTCATAAGTACCCTGGAGAGGCCCAAATATCCAAAAACTTAACATCTAATTTTTGCACTTGCCACAAAATCTGGGCATCATTAACAAATTTGTGAATAATCATTTTGGAGTGCCATAAAAGCTCTCCTTTGTGTAGTAAAAGATGTGAGACAAGCTGCAGCTAATGG